TCGGAGTTTTATCTGTCCTAGACTATTATTTTACGTCAATTCTATCACTTATGTTGCTAAAATTTAAAAAGTTTTTATATCGATAGATATATAGGGCAAATTGAAAGTATGGAAAACATTCCAATATAACTATTTACATTTTACTTGGGTCTTATGTACTACAACGTATGACAAACTTGCCCTTATCAAGGGTTATCCATTTGAAGGTACAATTGAGATTGAGCTTTAAAATCGTCTCTGATAACACAAGTTATTGCTGACGTTTCGCCTATTATAGCTTCTTTCGATAGCGCGTTTTGGATCTAGAAACACATATTTTTAGAGATTTTGCTGGCGTGTCCGCTAAAATTACCTAATTTTATTTACCTACCTATACTTATAGCCGCTATCTATCACAATATTTGACGACTGTTTTTCTAACCAGGCTGACTGCGGCCTGGTGCTCCAGTTCCCAGTTCTCTTCGGAGTGAGTGGTATTGACAGTACCTCACTCTGTGATGGCAACCGAACTGTCTTGATAGGAGGCTGAGAGTGTTGCAGCTCCTCTAATGATTTGTAAATGGGTACGTTTAGTTACTTTAACTACATTATAACCTAGCTTTACTTGAAGTTACGTTTATGATACTACGCGGAAGGTCGCGAATCTAATCCATAATAGCGCCCCCGAATATTAGGTATCACGTTGAGATACCTAATTTTTGTTTAATACTACTTGGTTTAATCGACATCATCCGATTGTTTGTGAAGGCTTATCAGCCTTTAAATTCTTGTCTTCAGTTAAGTCTCTTCTCTACTGCTCCAGCTATTACTCTCACAGTAATATAAATATTACCAGCCCTGATCTCCCCTGAACAACAGGTACAAGTGTACAGAACAGGAGTGTGTCTCCCAGCTAGGCTGAAGTAACGGTACAGGAGTGTGAGTTGGGGGACGACGAAAGAAGTGTCCCAGAGTGGTGATACAAACAACTACGTGTTAAAACTGCCCCAAGTGGTGTTTAACAAAAAGAGCTAACGTGTTAAAACGTGTCCCACCAGAAGTGGTGAGGTATCAAACTAACTACGTGTTAAAACCGTTTCCCAGAGTGGTGAGTAACAAACTAACTACGGTGTGAAAACGTGTCCCAGAGTGGGTGAGTAACAAACTAACTAAGTGTTAAAAGTCCTGAGGGAAACGTGAACTTATTTATAAGTGATTGATGATTTTCCTGGCATTGAGTTTATTATCCCAGGAAAGTCTATTTTTATTCTGCAATTGTTTGACAGTTATGTCACTCGTTACATCACCAATAAAAGAAGTAGAAGGATTTATGGTGCCATCAGTAGAAAATCGAATAAGTTTTATCATGTTGAAAACCTTGCCTGACTCCTACTTTTCTTACTTCTGCCCGTGTTTTGTAACTGACATACTACACTTCCCATCTGTAACACCTCGTAACACATCTGTAACACATTGTAACACCTCTTAACACCTCTATATCACCTCTATAACACCTCTGTAACACCTCTATAACACCTCTGTAACACTTTGTAACACCTCTGTAACACCCTGTAACACCTCTGTAACACATCTGTCACACTCTGTAACACCTCTATAACACCTTCTTAGTTACACCTCTGTAACACCTCTATAACACCTCTGTAACACCTCTGTACACCTCTGTAACACCTCCCCTTCAGGCCTTGCTAATGCAATCTGTTAGAGTGGAAGTGTAATGACGGTACTTGTATCAGTAAAACTTGGCTCTGTGATAGACAGCCGCTTGTGCCGAGGAGAGGACGAACAGGTTTATAATTATAACATATTTTATAACATATTTTATAACATATTTATAACACATTTAATAACACATTTATAACATATTTTTATAACAAGTTATAACAGTAATTTTTAACATATTTATGACATATTTATGACATATTATAACTTATTTATAACAATTTTATAATCTAAACAAATTTACTTTTGTTGTGTGGTTTCTTGGGGTGTCTCATTATTAGTTTATTTTTTCTTTAAACTCTTTTGTTTTGGCAATTATTATGTTGAATATCATGCAAACTGCCAAACTAAGTCAAAGGGAAACTGTCAATGAAACAATTATAGATAAAATTAAACATACGGGTTAAAATAAAGGTATAAGTAAAAAGTGGGAGGGGCCCAAAATTCAGATTTTACAGAAGAGCGAATCCAATTAAAACAATTTAAATGTATGTTGACTGAAGTGACCTACAGTTCAATCCCAAGTTTTCAAACGCTAACTTAAAAGTAATCTTTGAGAATGCATTCGAAAGCAAACTACCAGATATCTTTATCTCTACTTTATCCTTACGTTTTACTGTTCTTCTCTGTCTTCGCTCCTCCTGCTGGTATATTCCGTCAAATAATAGTTAGTGTATATAGAGCGGGGAGAATGGAAGGATATTTTTGAATAGTGTTTGTGAAACTTGCAATCCTTACTGTAAATTCTTGATTAAAAAAGAAAGAAAGATAGCTGAAACTTTTGACTACTAATATAAAATCAAACTATAGTAAGAAACTAAAAACACGCTTCGAACTTACCACGAGAAAAATTTGTATCACGTGATCTGATGTAAACTCTCGACTGATGATGTTTAACTTCTCTCACTTTGGCGCTGTACATCACAATGTTCGCGATCCAAACGGCCTCTCGTCCGAATGTGTTATGGGCATATGAATTCGCTAACTGCCCCCGTATCACTCCCTCTGGTAGTTACACTGAGAACTTGAGGTTAAAGGTCTCTCTCCGGTGTTGTGTACGTTTGTGACGTGTCAAGCTCCCATTGGTTGATGCTTGCGAGTTACAACGTGTCACAAGTATACCGCTGCTCCCCGCGATGAGAATCTCTGTGATTAGCATATCAGATCTAGTTTTTGGAATCGGTAATCCACTGATTACACTTGTGGACGGACCCCCGCTGTGAGACCGTGCTTCATCTTCAATCTGCTTTTAGTAAGGCACTGTCAGGAACTTTATCACAGTGGTGGGTCCTTTTCCCAGAGTGGAATAAACATATGCTCATTCAGATAGCATTTTAGCTTGGTCGGATACCCACACTTATCACACTTGTAGGGTCCGCAAGATGGTATGTGTGAGTTGTGTACTTTACTCTACTTAGAGTACTCCCTCTGTAATCACACTCATCACACTTGAAAGGTTTTTTCTTTAGTGTGCGTGCGTTATGAACCATGAACCTTCCACCTACCTCTTGCAGAGAAGCTACATTGATCTCAAGGGTACGGCCCTCACCCCGTGTGTTAGTTACGATGTTCTTTTAGTTAATTCTTAGATTTAGTTGACAAGTCACAGATAAATCCCACATAAGTTCGTTCACTGGTGTGATTACTCATGTGTGAATCAAGGCACTACTTGCTTAGAGCCGTATAATCGCACAATAGTACTTGAACGGTTTCCTCTCCGGAGTGAGTGGCTTCGTGTGATTTTATCGCTGATGCAGTAGCTGCTGAATAATCACACTTTTCAGTTTTTTAACACCGAAAATGGTTTCTCTCCTGTGGAGTAAGCATGTCTGTTAGATTCCCGTTCTGTTTCTCGCTTATACTCACACCGATCACATTGTACGGTCTTTCTGCGTGTGTCGGCGCAAATGAACCTTCAGGTCCTTTAGTGGTAATGAGTGGTTACAATATTTCGCACGGTAAGTCTCCTCGCCAGTGGAGTACGCAATATGAGTAGCCAGAGACCCTTTCTGTGCTGCCTGGTAATCACACTCTTCACATTTGTATGGTCTGTCCAATGTGTGAGTGCGCTTGTGGATTGTCAGACCTCCTCTCTGACAACACGAAAAGTCACACTTATCACACTGAAAGGGTCTCTCGCCAGTGTGAGTACGGATGTGTGTCACAAGAGAACATTTATGCTTACACTGATAATCACACCGATCACACTTGTATGGTGTCTCTGCGGTGTGTGAGCGCATGTGAATTTTCAAGCTGCATCTAACGGCTGCTGAGTAATCACACTTTTCACATTTATAGGGTCGCTCGCCAGTGTGAGTGCGCATGTGTGATTTAAGAGCACCGCTCTGCCTGGCTTTATAATCACACTGAGTACATACAAACGGCTTTTCCATAGTGTGAGTACGTTCGTGTGATTTCAGCGCTGATCTGTTGGTAGCTGAAAAATCACACTTTTTACACTCGAAAGGTTTCTCTCCGGTGTGAGTACGATCGTGAATTTTCAACCTTCCTTGTCTGGCTGTTGAATAATCACACTTTTTACACTGATAAGGTTTCTCCCCAGTGTGGGTGCGCATGTGAACTGCAATACAGCTGTTTGTTTTGGCTGAGTAATCACACAAACTACAGATAAAGGGCCGCTCCCCAGTGTGAGTGCGCATGTGAACTGTCAGGTTACCGTTAGTGGTCGCCGAGTAATCACACTTTTCACATTTATAGGGTCTTTCTCCAGTGTGAGTGCGCATGTGTGACTGAAGATAAAATTTCTGCCTGCCTCGATAGTCACAGAGGTTACATTTAAAAGGTTTTTCTACGGTTTGAGGTTCTGTCATAGAGTCGTCGTCCATTGCAGGATCAATAAGTGCCATGTTACATAGTCGTTTGATGTTTATGACTGCTAGAGTTAATTTCGTTAAATTTTATTGACGAAACAGAATTAAAATTAACGCCTTGCAAAACATGAAAATAGTGATTGTAATAAAGTAAAAGAATACAGTAAAGTGGTTTAACGAAGATAATGCAAGATACATACTAACTTTGATTAAATTTAACAAAGGTAATGTACCCACAGCTACAAGAGTTCATGGTTCCAATTTTGCAACCTTGACAGTCAAAACAAACACTAATTATCATTATTAATTATCGCCTCGTTTACGATCGAGTACATTAAAAAATCATGCAGGAATGGCTTCGGTGGAAAATTTACTGTGACCTGGAAATTATAAACTTCCAAAGTGCAACTGTCCAGTTATAAAACTCAATATAAATTTCAACTATTCCAGGAATGCGCAGCATGTGATCCCGTACTACAGTTCGACTGTGGAGACCGCTGTATCAGTGTGACTGATGTGTGTGATGGTTTTATTCACTGTAAACAGGATGGAAGGGACGAGGCTAACTGCCAAGGTAACTTACTCGAATTTGTATCCATTACATTAATCGATATACGCTACGATTTTTATAGCATTTTTTACTCACTTCAAATTTCATAACTGGCATAATAAGCATTATTTTTAGGTTTATTTTTTTCCTCAATCTTGTAGTTGAACTCTCTCAAAATTAGTAATGCACTATTTTTATTGTACATTACTAATTGTGATAGAGTTCAACTACAAGATTCAGAAAAAAAAATTCCGAAAATAATCCCACTTCAGCATGTAAAAAGGGACAGAAGCAGTGTAAGAATGGCCAGTGCAGGGCCACTAACCGGTGGTGCGACCGGACCCCGGACTGTTCTGACCGGTCAGACGAGTGGAACTGTACCTACACTATGGTAGATCCCCGAACTGATGGGAATCAGGTCTGTCAAACTGGAGGCTCCGCGTGTGAACCATGTTGAAAGTGTGTAGCCACATTTGTGGCTTAATTCGTACAACTTCGGGGAAATTTTGATTGACAGACATTGTTATGAGTGTGCCGTTAAATTTATCCGACTGACTGTACTTGTTTTAAAGTTCTCGTCGCTGTTTCAGAACCACATAGCCCCCACTCTGATAATAATATTCGCGGCCCTCTTCATGACTGTGGTGGGAGTTGGGCTTCTCTACAAGTTCAACATTCTACCTCGAGTCAGATCTACGTACAAGCAGCTCACTCAGTCCAGCAACAAAACAGTAAGTATTTCCCTTTCAACTTTCCTTTTCATATCGTGTCTTCATTCTGAAGAACAAGAACAGTTTTCTGATTTTAGAACGGAACCTAATGATAATTTGCTCTCTCATTTCCTCCTCTCTATATGTCTAAAACTCCTCCTGTACAGGTGGAGACGAACGTATGTGTCACTACAAACACCTACTCGGAACTGGAGACAACAGTGTGTAGTTCTGATGGTGCCTGGCAACGGAGGAACAACAAGTCTCTAGATCACTATGAGACTATCACTAACAGTTCTATAGGGTCCAGTCTTAAACCTATTAACACGTTAGTAAACAGGGAAGATTGAGTGATTAAGTATGCAGTCACGAGAAGGCGAATAGGGGCACAATACCCAATCTTCCAATCTTCCGTTGAATTATTAATCATAATCAGAGGTGGTTAGTTATTTACTCAGCGAGTAATTACTAACACAAACAGTTGTGTTTGTGTTATTGCTAATAGTACGAGGCCACAAAATAACATTCGACAATTAGCTGGACTGTAACCTTTCATTACCAGCTTGCAGCTCAGCAACTGTAGTGAATATATATTTTGACCATAATATGATGATGTGTTCTGTAAGTGTAAGTTGTAACACAGTTTTGACGAGCATCTTTTCAGACAAAACCCATACGAAAGGTTCGGTATTGCTCCAGTGCAGAGCACTACAGATGTCAGCATCGCAGACGGACCTCCACCCTCAATAGCTAGCGGGGGCTACTCCTCTGGTCCCGGGGCCTCCTCGCGCGCACCTTCACGTGCACCTTCTGCCAGATCTCACGCGCACTCCGCGCGATCACGTGCTACTTCAGCCCGGTCACGTGTCCCCGTCAGTTACCAGTACCACGTTAACAACAACGTCATCTGGGACGATCATATCAACAGGTAACATTTATTCGTACTAATTATCATATTTGATATTTTATCTCCACATTTTCTATTGTTCTCAAAATCGATATAATTATTATGTTGGTCCCCATTTAATTTTATGAATAACTAACGTATCTAAATTTCATTTTCCTCAGTGTGTCAGATTACGATCAGAACTGTTTATCAGACAATTATCAGTCCGAGTTTTCAGTGGGGTTCTCAACCTCCCGTCCGGAGCGACTAGCACGGAACCTAGCTCCTTGTGGAACTCCTGTCACCACCGACAACGACGACTGATCACATGATATTTGTCGTCATTTAGTCGTCCTAATCACTAATATCTTAGATCTGCTGATAATGTGATAGCCAAGCTCCGTGTGATGTATTTGGAGTGATGTTTGCCGGCACCGTCGGTTACCTACTGTTATCTACTGCATATTGTAATTTATACTTTGTGTAATATAAAGACATTGATTATTAGTTCATTTTTGAACTAACTATTGGCTCATTTTGTTTTTATCCAGGTTTGTATCTTGATCACCACCGAATGCTGTTTTTAATTTTTTGGAAGAGACTGAGAGGATGATTTCAGGAAGGTCAAGATTCCTATGCCATTTAAGTACCTGGTGTTTTTTGCTAACATTTTAGCAAATTTTTATAAAAGTGATAGCGAAATCATCTTTACCGACATTAATGTAATAATTATAATGTACTGATACATAATTTGATGATTTTATTTTATAATTGACATTTTGAATACTGAATTAAGTTCTTTGAATGAAGTTCTTCGACCTTGGACCTGTTTACCCTATTTAACTTAAATTCTAAAGGCAAATCGTTTATTGAGTCGGATATTTTAATCTTAATCTGATCAGTAATCTCAATTTATTTGGAACACTATTCTCGATGTTTCACTTGTATTCTCGAACATGTGTTGTGGTTTGATTGCATTGCATAAGTTGCATCCAAGTTGGAAACTGTATAGTAATGTCAAAGTAGCGGCGCACGCTACTTTGTCATTTGTAAAACTCAGCACCCTGCCTCGGACCATAATATTTCGAGAAGAAAGCTGTGCGCGCTACTTTGACGGATGTTACTCGTCTGTATGGTATAAATTTCTTCGAAGTAGGGCCAAGAGCGCGCCGCTTTCTTCTTAACGGGTACGTGATACTCGTAAAATATCTGTTCCAGGACCGTCGACGAGTCCAACTCGGCGCGCGTACTGGTCACTGGTAGGTTGTAAACCTACAACTTTCTTCTCGAAATATTATCTGCCCGAGGCTTACCTGGGGACCCTAGTAGTAAAGTCATTCCCGATCTCATTTTTAAATCCCGGAAATCGGGATTCCCCAACATTTAAAAGTAAACATGATCAAATAATTTTTCTCGCAACCGTAGATCTTGTCATTGGTCATACGTTGTATGACCCGCCGCGCACGAGTGCGCGGCTCCCCCTGTATCGTTGAAACTCTACAGGGGTGAAGCGACAGTGGGGGTCACCACGTGATACAACTTAGATCGGCAAAATGCACTTGGCACCACTGGGCCTCGCCGAGCTGGGAAAGATTGACCTCGTGAATCAAGTTATATTTGGAGGACTTCGACGCGCCGCATTCTTGCTTCGCTTCGCAGAGCAACGATCTCGACGGATTGACATCGTCAATCAAAGTTATATCAGTAGGTCAATCACCAAAATTGAATATTTTGCATTTTTGTTTGCGATCTATTTATATAACCTTGCATGCTCTAACCAAAGCCCTTTCGCTTGCTGTAATGCAGTAGCGTGCGACCGCCGCGCGCGTAGGCTCATGCATCATGGCTATGTGAATATATTTGCTACTTATTTGTTGTATGTTTACAGCTTGACGGATGTTACTAGCTCGTCTAAATTTTTTCGAAGTAGCGCGCGCCGCTTTCTTCTCGAAATGTTGGCCCGATGGCAAGTGCTACGAAGTAGCGCGCGCCGGGCCAGATCATTAACAATGGTCAAGTTTAAAACCTACCAGGACGCGTGCCGGCCGATTTGGACTCGTCGACGGTCCTAATAATTGGAACAAATATTTTACGAGTATCACCCGTTAATTTATTTGTCATACGTTTATGACCCGCTGCGCACGAGTACGCGGCTCTTCCTGTATCGTAGAAACTCCACCATAGTGAAACAACCGTGGGGGTCACAACGTGATACAACTATTTGTACCTTTGTATTGCGATCGCGATGCGCTACTGGGTGCGCCTCGCCGAGCTGCGAAGAATTGTCATCGTCAATTAACTATTACCTATAACCTTGTATTCAGTATCACGTCGTGACCCCCACGGTTGTTTCACTATGGTATCGTTTTTACGATACAGGCTAGGGGAGCCGCGCACTCGTGCGCGGCGGGTCATACAACGTATTTCACATAGCCATGTGTATACGCGTACTGCGTGACGCGCTTGTGACGCGCTTCGGCGGTCGCGCGCTACTGCAAGCGAGAGGGCTCTGGTTAGAGCAAACAACGTATGACAAGCTTCAATTTTTCAGTTTTAAACATAGGTTTCAACTCTCCTCCTTTCATAAAATTGTTGACCATTATTAATGGTCTGGCTCGGCGCGCGCTACTTCGTAGCACTTGCCATATTCGAGAAGAAAGCGGCGCGCGCTACTTCGAAGAAATTTAGACGAGTAAAATCAGTCAATGAAATTGTTATGTTGTTACGTACTTCGATTTGCAATTTGAATATATTCACTAACTAAAGCTAACTAACTCCTTTCGTCAAAATATCATCGATCGGATTTTTATCTTGTCCTAGACTAATATTTTACGTCAAATTCTTATCACTTATGTTGCTAAAATTAAAAAGTGTTTTATTATCGTATATAATAGGGCAATTGAAAGTATTGGAAAACATATCCAATATAACTAATTACATTTTTCCTGGGTCTTTGTACTACAACGTATGACAAACTTTGCCCTTATCAGAGGGTTTATCCATTTGAAGTACAATTGAGATTGGCTTTAATCTTCTCTGAGTAACACAAGTTATTGCCGACGTTTCGCCCATATAGCTTCTTTTGATTGCGCGTTTTGATCTAGAAACACATTTTTTAGAGATTTTGCTGGTGTGTCCTCTAAAATTACCTAATTTACCTACCTATACTTATAGCCGCTATCTTATCACAATATTTGACGACTGTTTTCTAACCAGGCTGACTGCGGCTGGTGCTCCAGTTCCCAGTTCTCTTGCGGAGTGAAGTGTATTGACAGTACCTCACTCTGTGATGGCAGACTCGACTGTCTTGATATGGAGGATGAGAGTGTTTGCAGCTCCTCTAATGATTGTAATGGGTACGTTAGTTACTTTAACTTACTTATAACCTACTTTACTTGAAGTTACGTTTATGAAACTACGCGGATAGGTCCAAATCTAATCCATAATAGCGCCCCGTAATATTAGGTATCACGTTGTGATACCTAATTTTTGTTAAAACTACTTGGTTAATCGACATCATCCGATTGTTTTGTTGAATGCTTATCAGCCTTTAAAATTCTGTCTTCAGTTATGTTCTCTTCTCTACTGCTCCAGCTATTACTCTCACACATAATATAATAATTACCACGCCCTGATCTCCCCTGACAACAGGTACAAGTGTAAAGGAACAGGAGTGTGTCTCCCAGCTAGGATGAAGTGTAACGGGTACAGGGAGTGTGAGTTGGGGGACGACGAGAAGAAGTGTCCCAGAGTGGTGAGTAACAAACTAACTACGTGTTAAAACGTGCCCCAGAGTGGTGTGTAACAAACTAACTACGTGTTAAAACGTGTCCCAGAGTGGTGAGTAACAAACTAACTACGTGTTAAAACGTGTCCCAGAGTGGTGAGTAACAAACTAACTACGTGTTAAAACGTGTCCCAGAGTGGTGAGTAACAAACTAACTACGTGTTAAAACGTCCTGAGGGAAACGTGTACCTTGTTTTAATAAGTGATGATGATTTTCCTGGCATTGAGTTTATTATCCAGGAAAGTCTATTTTTATTCTGCAATTGTTGACACTTATGTCACTCGTTACATCACCAATAAAAGAAGTAGCAGGATTTATTGGTGCCATCATTAGTATCGAATAAGTTTTATCATTGTTGAAACCCTGACTCCTACTTTCTTACTTCTGCCGTGTTTTGTACTGAAATACCTACACTTCCCTCTGTAACACCTCTGTAACACATCTGTAACACATATGTAACACCTCTGTAACACCTCTATAACACCTCTATAACACCTCTGTAACACCTCTATAACACCTCTGTAACACCTTTGTAACACCTCTGTAACACCTCTGTAACACCTCTGTAACACATCTGTAACACATCTGTAACACCTCTATAACACCTCTATTTAACACCTCTGTAACACCTCTATAACACCTCTGTAACACCTCTGTAACACCTCTGTAACACCTCCCCCTTCAGGCTGCTAAGTGCAATCAGTTAGAGTGGAAGTGTAATGACGGTACTTGTATCAGTAAAACTTGGCTCTGTGATAGACATCCTGACTGTGCCGAGGGAGAGGACGAACAGGTTTATAATTATAACATATTTATAACATATTTATAACATATTTATAACATATTTATAACACATTTATAACATATTTATAACATATTTATAACATATTTATAACATATTTATGACATATTTATGACATATTTATAACATATTTATAACATATTTATAATTCTAACAAATTTACTTTTGTTGTGTGTTTCTTGGGGTGTCTCATTATTAGTTGTATTTTTCTTTAAACTCTTTTGTTTTTGTCAATTATTATGTTGATATCATGCAAACTGCAAACTAAGTCAAAGTGAAACTGTCAATGGAAACAATTATAGATAAAATTAAACATACGGGTTAAAATTAAGGTATAATTAAAAAGTGGGGGGCCCAAAAGTATCAGAATTTATCAGAAGAGGCGAATCCAATTAAAACAATTTAAATGTATGTTGAACTGAAGTGACCTACAGTTCAATCCCAAGTTTTCAAACGCTAACTTAAAAAGTAATCTGTGAGATGCAGTTCAGAAGCAAACTACCAGAGTATCTTTATCTCTACTTTATCTTACGTTTTACTTGTTCTTCTCTGTCTTCGCTCCTCCTGCTGGGTATATTCCGTCAAATAATAGTTAGTGTATTATAGAGCGAGGGAGAATGGAAGGATATTTTTGAATAGTGTTTGTGAAACTTGCAATCCTTACTGTAAATTCTTGATTAAAAAAGAAAGAAAGATAGCTGAAGACTTTTGACTCTAATATAAATCAAACTATAGGTAGACTAAAAAACACGCTTCGAACTTACCACGAGAAAAATTTGTATCACGTGATCTTATGTGAACTCTTCTAACGTGATGGTTTAACTTCTTCTTCACTTTGGCTCTGTAATCACAATGTTCGCATCCAAACGGCCTCTCGTCCGAATGTGTATGGGCCATATGAATTCGCAACGCCCCCGTATCAATCCCTCTGTAGTTACACTGAGAACATGGGTAAGGTCTCTCTCCGGTGTGTGTACGTTTGTGACGTGTCAAGCTCCCATTGGTTGATGCTGCGTAGTTACACGTGTCACAAGTATACGGCTTCTCCCCGCTATGAGATCGCTTGTGGATTATCATATCAGATCTAGTTTTGGATCGGTAATCGCACTGATTACACTTGTGGGGACGGACCCCGCTGTGAGACCGTGCATGCATCTTCAATCTGCTTTTAGTAATGGCACTGTAGGAACATTTATCACAGTGGTGAGGTCTTTTCCCAGAGTGAATAAACATATGCTCATTCAGATAGCATTTTAGCTTGGTCTGATACCCACACTTATCACACTTGTAGGGTCGCAGACTGGTATGTGTGAGTTGGTGTGACTTTACTCTACTTAGAGTACTCCCTCTGTAATCACACTCATCACACTTGAAAGGTTTTTCTTTAGTGTGCGTGCGTTTATGAACCATTAACTTCCACCTACCTCTTGCAGAGAAGCTACATTGATCACAAGGGTACGGCCTCTCCCCCGTGTGTATTTTACGATGTTCTTTTAGAGAATTCTTAGATTTAGTTGAAAGGTCACAGATATCACACTTATAAGGTCGTTCACTGGTGTGAGTACTCATGTGTGATCGAAGGGCACTACTTTGCTTAGCCTTATAATCGCACAAAGTACATGTGAACGGTTTCTCTCCGGAGTGAGTGCGTTCGTGTGATTTTATCGCTGATGCAGTAGCTGCTGAATAATCACACTTTTCAGTTTTACACCGAAATGGTTTCTCTCCTGTGTGAGTAAGCATGTGACTGTTAAGATTCCCTTTCTGTTTCGCTTTATACTCACACCGATCACATTTGTACGGTCTTTCTGCGTTGTGTCGGCGCAAATGAACCTTCAGGTTGCCTTTAGTGGTAAATGAGTGGTTACATATTTCGCACTGGTAAGGTCTCTCGCCAGTGTGAGTACGCATATGAGTAGCCAGAGAGCCTTTCTGTGCTGCCTGGTAATCACACTCTTCACATTTGTATGGTCTGTCCAATGTGTGAGTGCGCTTGTGGATTGTCAGACCTCCTCTCTGACAACACGAAAAGTCACACTTATCACACTGAAAGGGTCTCTCGCCAGTGTGAGTACGGATGTGTGTCACAAGAGAACATTTATGCTTACACTGATAATCACACCGATCACACTTGTATGGTGTCTCTGCGGTGTGTGAGCGCATGTGAATTTTCAAGCTGCATCTAACGGCTGCTGAGTAATCACACTTTTCACATTTATAGGGTCGCTCGCCAGTGTGAGTGCGCATGTGTGATTTAAGAGCACCGCTCTGCCTGGCTTTATAATCACACTGAGTACATACAAACGGCTTTTCCATAGTGTGAGTACGTTCGTGTGATTTCAGCGCTGATCTGTTGGTAGCTGAAAAATCACACTTTTTACACTCGAAAGGTTTCTCTCCGGTGTGAGTACGATCATGAATTTTCAACCTTCCCTGTCTGGATGTTGAATAATCACACTTTTTACACTGATAAGGTTTCTCCCCAGTGTGGGTGCGCATGTGAACTGCAATGCAGCTGTTAGTTTTTGCTGAGTAATCACACAAACTACAGATAAAGGGCCGCTCGCCAGTGTGAGTGCGCATGTGAACTGTCAGGTTACCGTTAGTGGTCGCCGAGTAATCACACTTTTCACATTTATAGGGTCTTTCTCCAGTGTGAGTGCGCATGTGTGACTGAAGATAAAGTTTCTGCCTGCCTCGATAGTCACAGAGGTTACATTTAAAAGGTTTTTCTACGGTTTGAGGTTCTGTCATAGAGTCGTCGTCCATTGCAGGATCAATAAGTGCCATGTTTGATGTTTATGACTGCTAGAGTTAATTTCGTTAAATTTTATTGACTAAACAGAATTAAAATTAACTCCTCGCAAAACATGAAAAAAGTGGAATGTAATAAAGTTAAAGAATACAGTAAAGTGGTTTAACGAAGATAATGCAAGATACATACTAACTTTGATTAAATTTAACAAAGGTAAAGTACTCACAGCTACAAGAGTTCAAGGTTCCAATTTTACAACCTTGACAGTCAAAACAAACACTAATTATCATTATTAATTATCGCCTCGTTTACGATCGAGTACATTAAAAAATCATGCAGGAATGGCTTCGGTGGAAAATTTACTGTGACCTGGAAATTATAAACTTCCAAAGTGCAACTGTCCAGTTATAAAACTCAATTTAAATTTCAACTATTTCAGGAATGCGCAGCATGTGATCCCGTATTACAGTTCGACTGTGGAGACCGCTGTATTAGTGTCACTGATGTGTGTGATGGTTTTATTCACTGTAAACAGGATGGAAGGGACGAGGCTAACTGCCAAGGTAACTTACTCGAATTTGTATCCATTAATCGATATACGCTACGATTTTTATAGCAGTTTTTACTCACTTCAAATTTCATAACTGGCATAACTACTAGGTTCCGTACAGACTCAACTCTGCACCCGTGTCAATATGTTCATTATATGCAAGCCTCTTGATTTATAAGCATTATTTTTAGGTTTATTTTTTTCCTCAATCTTGTAGTTTAACTATCTCACAATTAGTAATGCACTATTTTTATTGTACTTTACTAATTGTGATAGAGTTCAACTACAAGATTCAGAAAAAAAAATTCCGAAAATAATCCCACTTCAGCATGTAAAAAGGGACAGAAACAGTGTAAGAATGGCCAGTGCAGGGCCACTAACCGGTGGTGCGACCGGACCCCGGACTGTTCTGACCGGTCAGACGAGTGGAACTGTACCTACACTATGGTAGATCCCCGAACTGATGGGAATCAGGTCTGTCAAACTGGGGGCTCCGCGTGTGAACCATGTTGAAAGTGTGTAGCCACATTTGTGGCTTAATTCGTACAACTTCGGGGAAATTTTGATTGACAGACATTGTTATGAGTGTGCCGTTAAATTTATCCGACTGACTGTACTTGTTTTAAAGTTCTCGTCGCTGTTTCAGAACCACATAGCCCCCACTCTGATAATAATATTCGCGGCCCTCTTCATGACTGTGGTGGGAGTTGGGCTTCTCTACAAGTTCAACATTCTACCTCGAGTCAGATCTACGTACAAGCAGCTCACTCAGTCCAGCAACAAAACAGTAAGTATTTCCCTTTCAACTTTCCTGTTCATATCGTGTCTTCATTCTGAAGAACAAGAACAGTTTTCTGATTTTAGAACGGAACCTAATGATAATTTGCTCTCTCATTTCCTCGTCTCTAAATGTCTAAAACTCCTCCTGTACAGGTGGAGACGAACGTATGTGTCACTACAAACACCTACTCGGAACTGGAGACAACAGTGTGTAGTTCGGATGGTGCCTGGCAACGGAGGAACAACAAGTCTCTAGATCACTATGAGACTATCACTAACAGTTCTATAGGGTCCAGTCTTAAACCTATTAACACGTTAGTAAACAGGGGAGATTGAGTGATTAAGTATGCGGTCACGAGAGGGCGAATACTGAATATTCCAATCTTCCGTTGAATTATTAATCATAATCAGAGGTGGTTTGTTATTTACTCAGCGAGTAATTACTAACACAAACAGTTGTGTTTGTGTTATTGCTAATAGTACGAGGCCACAAAATAACATTCGACAATTAGCTGGACTGTAACCTTTCATTACCAGCTTGCAGCTCAGCAACTGTAGTGAATATATATTTTGACCATAATATGATGATGTGTTCTGTAAGTGTAAGTTGTAACACAGTTTTGACGAGCATCTTTTCAGACAAAACCCATACGAAAGGTTCGGTATTGCTCCAGTGCAGAGCACTACAGATGTCAGCATCGCAGACGGACCTCCACCCTCAATAGCTAGCGGGGGCTACTCCTCTGGTCCCGGGGCCTCCTCGCGCGCACCTTCACGTGCACCTTCTGCCAGATCTCACGCGCACTCCGCGCGATCACGTGCTACTTCAGCCCGGTCACGTGTCCCCGTCAGTTACCAGTACCACGTTAACAACAACGTCATCTGGGACGATCATATCAACAGGTAACATTTATTCGTACTAATTATCATATTTGATATTTTATCTCCACATTTTCTATTGTTCTCAAAATCGATATAATTATTATGTTGGTCCCCATTTAATTTTATGAATAACTAACGTATCTAAATTTCATTTTCCTCAGTGTGTCAGATTACGATCAGAACTGTTTATCAGACAATTATCAGTCCGAGTTTTCAGTGGGGTTCTCGACCTCCCGTCCGGAACGACTAGCACGGAACCTAGCTCCTTGTGGAACTCCTGTCACCACCGACAACGACGACTGATCACATGATATTTGTCGTTATTTAGTCGTCCTAATATCTTAGATCTGCCGATAATGTGATAGCCAAGCTCCGTGTGATGTATTTGGAGTGATGTTTGCCGGCGCCGTCGGTTACCTACTGTTATCTACTGCATATTGTAATTTATACTTTGTGTAATATAAAGACATTGATTATTAGTTCATTTTTGAACTAACTATTGGCTCATTTTGTTTTTATCCAGGTTTGTATCTTGATCACCACCGAATGCTGTTTTTAATTTTTTGGAAGAGACTGAGAGGATGATTTCAGGAAGGTCAAGATTCCTATGCCATTTAAGCACCTGGTGTTTTTTGCTAACATTTTAGCAAATTTTTATAAAAGTGATAGCGAAATCATCTTTACCGACATTAATGTAATAATTATAATGTACTGATACATAATTTGATGATTTTATTTTATAATTGACATTTTGAATACTGAATTAAGTTCTTTGAATGAAGTTCTTCGACCTTGGACCTGTTTACCCTATTTAACTTAAATTCTAAAGGCAAATCGTTTATTGAGTCGGATATTTTAATCTTAATCTGATCAGTAATCTCAATTTATTTGGAACACTATTCTCGATGTTTCACTTGTATTCTCGAACATGTGTTGTGGTTTGATTGCATAATGCATCCAAGTTGGAAACTGTATAGTAATGTCAAAGTAGCGGCGCACGCTACTTTGTCATTTGTACAACTCAGCACCCTGCCTCGGACCATAATATTTCGAGAAGAAAGCTGTGCGCGCTACTTTGACGGATGTTACTCGTCTGTATGGTCTAAATTTCTTCGAAGTAGGGCCAAGAGCGCGCCGCTTTCTTCTTAACGGGTACGTGATACTCGTAAAATATGTGTTCCAGGACCGTCGACGAGTCCAACTCGGCGCGCGTACTGGTAGGTTGTAAACCTACAACTTTCTTCTCGAAATATTGTCTGCCCGAGGCTTACCTGGGGACCCTAGTAGTAAAGTCATTCCCGATCTCATTTTTAAATCCCGGGAATCCCGACCGAAATAAATCCTGGAAATCGGGATTCCCCAACATTTAAAAGTAAACATGATCAAATAATTTTTCTCGCAACCGTAGATCTTGTCATTGGTCATACGTTGTATGACCCGCCTGTATCGTTGAAACTCTACAGGGGTGAAGCGACAGTGGGGTCACCACGTGATACAACTTAGATCGGCAAAATTGAAAATGCACTTGGCACCACTGGGCCTCGCCGAGCTGGGAAAGATTGACATCGTGAATCAAGTTATATTTGGAGGACTTCGACACGCCGCATTCTTGCTTCGCTTCGCAGAGCAACGATCTCGACGGATTGACATCGTCAATCAAAGTTATATCAGTAGCCTGACCTGACCCTGACCCTGACCCTGACCCTGACCCTGACCCTGACCCTGACCCTACCCTGACCCTGGACCCACTGACCTGACCTGACCCGGACCTGACCCAGGATCCTGACCCTAACCCGATCAATGACCCAGTATTAATTTACATGGGGGGTGTCAAATTGTCGGGGGTGTCAATTGTCGTACTAAACCCTAGATCGCGTCAATTGACCCCAGTTGTATACATAGGGGTCAATTGTCGGGGGGTCATTGTCGGGGGGGGGGGTCAATTGTCGGGGGGTCAATTGTCGGGGATCAATTGTCGCGGTACCCCTCAGTCATCCTCCTCAGTTCTCCTCCTCCTCCTCCTAGGTCCTCCTTCTGGGGTCCCTCCTCTCCTGGGTTCTACTGATCCTTCTCCCTCTCATTCATCTCCTCAGTCATCTCCTTCAGTCTTCCTCCTCAGTCTATTCCTCTCAGTCATCCTCTCAGCCATCCTCTCTGCCATCCTTCTCAGCATCCTCCTCAGTACTTCAGTACTCTTCAGTATCTTCGTCCTCCCAACATGTTTGTCCATAATGTCACCAATGTCCGCTAATGTCCTCACCATGTCCATCCAAGTCCGCTAATTGTCCGTCGGGTCCGCCAATTGTCGTCCGAGTCCGCAATGTCCGTCCGAGTCGCCCTCAATGTCCGTCCGAGTCCGCCATGTCCGTCCGTGTCGCCAATGTCCCAAAAATCACGTCCGTTTGTCTCATAGAATCCAAAAAGGACAGGGACATAGGCGGACATAGACGGACATGACACCCCCCCTACATTGTAACATTATTACATTGCACGTGTACAGAAATATTGTAGTGGTCTCTATATTAAAGCATATGGAAATTGAAAAAGTACGGATTGTACTTGTTTTATTACAGCAATACGATCAATGTCTCCAATTTCCTCTGTGGAATCCCTAACAACAATACGGAAACTTCAATCAAAAGATCCACCCCACAGTTTTATAACTACTAGTATTATCTAGTAGTACCCTCCTCAGCGGAACCCTTAGTAACTATTAACCTAGTAACCCTTCCTCAGCGACCCTAGTAACCTAGAAAACCCTCCCTCAGCGGACCCCTAGTAACCCCTAGTAACCTAGTAACCCCATCCACAGTGACCGCTACGTAACCTAGTAACCCCATCCTCAGTGACCCTTAGTAACTAGTAACCTCCCTCAGCAACCCCTAGTAACCTAGTAACCTCTCCCTCAGCGACCCTAGTAACCTGTAACCCCATCCTCCAGTGACCCTTAGTAACCATTGTAACCCATCCTCAGTGACCCTAGTAACCTAGTAACCCCTCCCTCAGCGACCCCTAGTAACTAGTACCCCATCCTCAGTGACCCTAGTAACCTGTAACCCCTCCCTCAGCAACCCTAGTAACTAGTAACCTCTCCTCAGCGACCCCTTGTAACTAGTAACCCCATCTCAGTGTCCCTAGCTAACTAGTAACCCCATCCTCAGTGACCCCTAAGTAAACCTAGGTAACGTAGTAACCCCTCCTCCGCGACCCTAGTAACCCCTAGTAACAAGTAACCCCATCCTCAGTGACCCCTAGTAACCTAGTAACCTAGAAACACTCCCTCAGCAGACCCCTAGTACTAGTAACCCCTCCCTCAGCGGTACTAGTAACCTAGTAACCCCTCCCTCAGCGACCCCTGTAACCTAGTAACACTTCCTCAGCGGCCCCTCGTAACCTATAACCACTCCACAGCGACCCCTAGTAAAACCTAGTAACCCTCCTCAGCGACCCTAGTATACTAGTAACCCCTCCTCAGCTAAACCCTAGTAACCTAGTAACCTCCCCCTCAGCGACCCCTAGTAACCTAGAACCCTCCCCTCAGCGACCCTAGTGAACCTAGTAACCCCATCCTCAGCAACCCCTAGTATACCTAGTAACCCCTCCCTCAGCGACCCTAGTATAATAGATAACCCCCATTGCCTCAGAGACCCTAGTAACTAGTAAACCCCTCCCTGCAGCAACCCCTAGTAACTTAATACCCTCCCTCAGTGTGCTCCAAACAACAGCCCACTATAGACACCACCCCTGGTGAGGAAAGTGTAGAGCGAGTCACAAGCGCTGGAGAAGCGCACGCTGCGCCCGCGGCGAGGCACTCGTACACGTGCGACCCGCGGAGAGACTACTTCTAGTACAACCTCCAGTACAATGTTCCGATACTAAAACCCTGATCGGACCAGAAGGAGTAAGTTCAAATTCATTAAGTTAAATTAGTCCTGTCTATATAATAAAGGGGGGGGGGGGGGGGGGGTGTTGTCACGTCCGTCTATGGCCGCTTGTTCATAGTTCCAAAAAGGACAGGGACATAGGCGGACATAGGCGGACATAGACGGCATAGGCGGACATAGGCGGACATAAGAGGGGGGCGGGTGGACATAGGCGGACATAATGGACACCTAAATTGCTAATAAAATGTCAATTTTTGCTGTATAGGGGGATCATGTTTTTTGTCGTTCGGTACCCTAATTTTCAAAACGGACAAAATGTAGAGCGGACAAAAACGGACAAAAATGGACAAAAACGGACAAAACTGGGAAATAACATTTAGATGCTTCATACTCCTACTCTTCCTCCTCTCCCCTGGGTCTTCCTGATCTTCCTTCAGTCCTCTTCTCCCTCCCCCTCCTCAGTCCTCCTCCTGGGCATATTTTCAAACTATAGAATGTTACGGTGTGACATATTTACCCATTTTTTTTCGAAAAAATGTCCAAGAAAAAATGGTTCATTATTGGTTAATTCGGTTTTAAGGCTTTTCAAAAACCTACGATTTGCATATCAGGCCAAAGAAAATAGTGAGAAAATCAATCGTTTTTGAGTAATTAAAAGTCGAAATTGTAGTTACGTTACGGAGTGACTAGATAAATTTTCAGATTGTGGTACACCATATTCTGACTAATTTTTATCTCAGGATATTCTTGAAGTTTCATTTTGACGGCTTCCAGGCATTTATAGACGTTTTCCTTTCAATAATTAATCAAGAAAAAAGTGTGTAATTGCTAAGGAATAAAAAAATTATGAGGCTTTAAAATTTTGGGGATGTTACGGAGTGAATGTTACGAGAAGTGACGCATCAACAGTTCTTCTCATTCCCTCGAATTTTTCATCATTTTGCATCTGTTCCTGGCTCCTAAATAGTAGAATTCTTTTCAAAATTGATAGATAACACTTTAAACAAGGTAGACACACAAATTTATGATGTTGAAATAAATCAAATCTGGTACAATTCATTAGTTCTTTGATCACAATTATGATATAAAAATTACGCTCATGTGATAAAAAATCAACCCTGGAGTCTACAAACTCTGTAAATTTCCCTTAAAAACAGACATTTAAATCACTGTTGAAAAATATAAACAACTGCATAAAATCAGTTCATTGGTTTAAACTTTCTACATATTACTCGTGTTAAGATTCGTTACGAGTGCAATATCATAATGATGTTTAAAAATCTGGGCCTTATTGGTTTAAAGTTATATAAACTGTACAATGTACACAGTTTAACGGAAAATTCAAAACCTTTACACCACTTATAGGCAAGTTCAGGTACTTCAAACTCTATTCTTTCCCTGTTCCCGCAAAAGCTTTCGGCATACCAATAACTCCTTTCACGTCACGAAGTTCGTATTCATGGACGACCTCTTTGTCAGGCCATTCCAGATTGATTCCAGGTTTTCCAGTGGTACAAGGCACTTAACGGTAAGGTTACTGCTGTCTGGCATTGCCATAAATTTTCCGGGTTAAAGTTTTCGCCCCTCCCAGTTAAACAATCACGAATTGATCAATGTGGTAATTTCACAAGCTGAAAGTTTTAAATGTTTGGAATTGTAAAACAGTCACAGTATGCACTCAACAATGTGCTTACACAATAATTATCGTTATCGTGAAGCACAAAGATGCTTGCATATGTCATGCAGACGTTTGTTCACAGGGAGTTTTTCGTCCTAGCGCGTATAAAAAGCATCTTATTTTTGCGCGCGCCACCACTTTTGAATAACGTTTTCGCGCTTTCTACATTACAAACACTATTTGAATTTTATTTCTATCGATGATTTCACGTCATGGCTTCCTTCAGTTTTAATTCAAGTTTAAAGGTTTAAATTCACTAATACCTAAACGATTTACAGAAGTCTACAGTACATCGACCGAGACGGAAAAGAGTACTTCTACAAGAACGACAAAACCCACGAAACCAAAGATATTGCGAAGAAGTTGACTCTTTTGGGACACTTCATGCATTACATGCACGAGCATCTGCTAACAGTACGTGCACGTTTTAACCGCTGACAGATTATTTCTGTTTGCAAGGATTTTAAATTATGTGTTCAACCCATATTAAAGCGAATCACCATTCCGACTTAACCAACATGATAACAAAGATGTCCGGTTCTATTATACGGTTTATATTATATGGTTTCGCTATTATATTGTTTTCGCAATTAATACAATAGATACTTCAAGTCTTCAAATGCAAGGGAAGATTTAGAAGAAGTATTAAATGAAGATTCTTTTAGACTGGAAGAGCCAAGCCCCCTCAAGATGTAGACAACTTGGCAAGATGGCCGTGTCTCCACTCCTGGTTCAGGACGAGCACTGCTATTGTACTCTTCTTAAACAACGGGACTCTTCAGGTATTCAATTGTCCCACCACGTACCCAAACTTGTTTTTGATAATTGAACTGCGTACTTAGCAAAGTAAACAAGTCCATTGTATAAATATACCTTTTTCACTGCCCGATGATTACCCTAATTATTACCCACACCTTAATTGAGTCAGTAATTGTTCTTTATCTGATATGATGTATTTTCAGTTGAACTTCTTCACGGACCACACAAAGATTATCCTCTGTCCGAAGATATCCGCTGTTTCCTACATCAATCCACAACGTGAAATGAAGACCTTCACATTCGAAAACATCCAGCGTCACGGGGCTAGCCACGAACTAAACACCAGGTTGAACTACGCCGTAACGATAATACGCCGGATGATGGCATCCGAAAACCAGGTCGGGCGGCTCTTCAATGAAAGAGATGGACATTGATAATGGGAGATTTGGTAAAATGTGTGAGCGTCTGCTTGAAGGTGCTGGACTTGATAATATTACGCCACCCAGGCTTGTTGTGTCGTGAAAATCGAATGCTAAGCGGTTTATACAGCAGAAATATCAATGGTTGTGTTGTTTCTACACTTGTGAATTGAATGGGATTGATTTCCGGGCGGCTCTGATGAAAGTGACAAATTTATACTATTTTTGCACTTCTGAAGAAATGAAAGGCTTCTGCATGGAATAATTTTCAAACAAAGAATTAGTTATTTTAATTTAGACAAATTGCTGCCTGACAGCCCATTTTATTTTGGAAATTCCAAAGAAATTCTGTGCTGGTGCCCAGTTTTATCTCCCTGTTTCAAAGATATACTTATATGACCATGCTTACGTTGGAAGTTAGCTGTAAAAATGTTGAGCGAATCCCCGCCTTACCCACTTTTTACCTTTCATTGCTGGACGTGGCGTTTCCTTATCTTAAGACTTTTCCTCCCCAAACCAACGGAGGTTTTGCCTTGATTATAGGAGGAACTTGACTAAGTGTGTTGAGCGAGTTATTATGTGTTTCTCGTCGATTTTTGACTAGTTTCTTTTTAAGATCGATTTACTAATGACGAAACTAACATTATTTCTATTTGAAATTTCGATTGATTGCCTCTTTATATACGATTGTAGTGTTATTATTGTTAAACTAGAAAGTTTATCATATAGTTAATATTAATAAATCAATCCGGTAGTATCATTAGTTAACCAAATTTCCTTTTAAGAATCCAAGTTCATGACGTTTAATTGAAGCAGTCCGGATTACTTATACGAATTAAACAATCAATTCATGATAAAATATAAATGTTAATGCGTATAAATCAACTATTTCACACATCTCTTATTTTACAACGCTAATGATTTAGCTAAAAATATATCAGTCTTAATAATTCAGAAGTCCGGCGTCCCGGGGGATTATATTTCGCTAGTTTTACAATAATTATATCTTACAAAATTTCATCATGCCAAAAAATCTTCCCTTCGGACAATCATATAAAAGTGGAAAGATAAGATGAAACATCAAGATGGCATTAAACGTTTATTAGATTAAAAGAAAAACAAAACGTGGAAGATTTTACTTAACGGATTGTAATATAAAAGTTTTTACATCGCCACAGAAACATGACTCGTTTGCAGGAAAACGACAGCCAGCGCCCAGTAATGGGCGAACGAAAAAGGGCAGTTCACTGCAGGTCAAAACTAAGCAGTTATTCGAACAACATTATTTAAAATGTAGATTAATGTTAGATTCATAAGATTGTAGAGCTCTGTTCACCTCTATCGAAGAAGCAACTAGAGTATATTATACTGGTTCATACCGAGTAATATAATTAAATGCATCACAATACGATTCCTAGCTGTTCTCACTATAATTGTTTATAATTCCAATACCAATAGATGGTGAAGAAAATCAACGGCAGGAGACCATGCAGAAATTACAAATTTATCGTATATGAACATATAATTCTAGATTTCTAGCTTGCTGCTGCCCGATCTTTATCTGATTGCACATTAGCCCTCTTTATTCTAAGGGATTTCCGTATTTCTTCTCCCTTGACAACTATGTCTTCAAACATGAGCTCTGAAAGAATTTCGTTAGTGATGAGTGACTTTTGAAAAATAGTTTTTCAGAACAAAATTAAATATACGAACGAATTGAACGGACAAGCGAGCGCTTGAAATGAAACAAAATCAAACCCGGTGACATGTATGCATGTATGCATGGCGCGCAAATAAGACAATGCGCGGAGATGTCTATATAAAATAGAGACGCCGATTCCAACTTGTTCTGCCGTAGATTGTACTGGCTAAAATTGGGACTGTCCCACTGACCATCTACCGGTTACATTCGTCGAGTGGAAACGTAGAAGGATAATTGAAAGTTACTTTAAGGTTATTCCGTTTTTAGCAGTGGCTATTAAGAATGAGCCTCAAACACGGCTGGATGTGGATGAGACATTACTGATCCAGTAATGGCTGTTTTACTCCATCAGCTAAATATTTAATGCGTGATTCGCGGCGCCAGGTCATGTAAATCTTCACAGCTTTGTAGATCCTATATAAATAAGTGTCATTCCTATCTTGGAATGTAACTTACTTCGAATATCTTCAGTGGTATAAGTTTCGTTATCGTTCAGTGGGTCCATAAAGGGTTCCGTTATCGGCTGAAGTTAAGATACAACATTTATTTACTTTTTATTATTTTTACCAACGGTTGAAACACCAGACCACACTATAAATCATTAAAACAAGATCAATATCAAAATACTCTGTCAGCACATACCACCCCCATATTTTACCGAGGACCTTAAATATCTGTTTAACACTGAGTGTCCCGGTAAATCGAGTTTAAACTTGTCTAGTCTAGATCAACACAATTTAGCAAAACAACAGATGACGTCATGACATTATTAGTTTAATAGTAATACATGACAGTAAGTTACATGATAATAAGAATAGTTACCTCATCATTAGGTTCTCTGTATTTAACAAAGTACTCGTGGGAAATGGACAGGTCTGCAGTCAGCCTAATCTCCGGCTCGTACACAAATATCTTCTCCAGTAAATCTCGAGCAATCGGGCTGGTGTTGTGAATTATTTAGTTGATTATAGTTAATTATGTTGTTAACTATTTACTATTAAGTCGATTGGTTAAAATCAAATAGTAAACTTAACTTTCCTTACAAGAATTTTCATGATAGAGAAAGCGAAAAGTAACCAGAAAATCGTTTAATTATGAATACTTTACTGCTATAATAAATGTGTCGATAAAAAAAATCGATAAAGATTGTTTTAATAGAAGGCAACTAATTAAGAAAGATGTTTAAATCGTAGTTCCCAAATTTTCTGCACTCCTTATGTGTTGCAATGTATTATACACTGCCACATGGTTTATGGTTGCCATGGCAATAACCACTCTCGCAAAGGAAAACTAACAGCTGTTTAGAGCAGTAAAAACGTTCTAACGCTAAATGATTGCTGTATCTTGACACCACGTGACATGGACACCACGTGACACCAAGTGACACCACGTGGTAGGTGACAGCTCTATCTTGACTTGCTAAATGATTACTATAAACGAACGAGTTGGAGCAATAAAGTTGCCAGAAAATAAAGTGTTACACACCTGCATTCACTGAACAATTCGGCGAAGTCGGATCGTGGGTAGTATTTCAGAGAACTGATAAACCTTCTCGCCTGAAAGAGGGCAAATATTTAGTAAGGATGTTGGTAAACATTTAGTAATGATGTTGGTTAAAGGTTGTAAAATAAATTACATATTTGAACACTCGTCTGAGATATAATGCTCGCTTCAAGTAATAAGTTAGTTGGATTATCATCTACAGGATTGTTCGTAATCTATATGATGGTACTAATATGTGATTTCACTATTGTGAAATTATATGTTTTGAACTATGATTTATTTGTCCCATTTGTTACTGCAAACTACAATTTGAAGACAAGAATACTGTTTCCGTTTTGCGAAATTTTAACTGTGAAGCTTTACAAGTTAAAAAATGCGCGTGGGCGTTATATCAGAAAATAGTTACTTCAAAAATCAAGCAATTAATTTTAATTAACACTGGTCGTTGGCCGAAACACAGGCTACTGTAAATTAACACAGTGGTACCACGTCTGAAATACTGGGGGGCTTGCCAGCATATACACTATAGCACCACGTACAGTACGACCAGTATTTTTTTAATACACTCACCTATTTTTAGGAAAACTGACAAACATTTCTCCAGCTACATAAATATTTCATGAACTATCAAGAGAAAGGAACGCCGCATGTACATTCTCCACATTCTTCAAAAAGGTCTGCTGTAATGATGGTTTAGTGCACACTTGCACACTTGCACCCCACTACAAAGTGAGGAATGCAGCATTATCTGCAAGTTTGTGTGTCAGGTTTCCTGTGCAATGTAGGAGTGTAGTATGCAAGTGTGTAGTGTACTTCTGATGTAATCATGTGCAAACAGATCAGACAAAATGGAAGCTGATATCGTACTTAACTATTGTAGGAAGCATATAACATTTTGACATTTGTACACTGTTTGTACACTGTGTTTGTGTACTTCAGAAAATTAAGTTGGGATGATGCAGTAGAAATTATGTTATCATTGCAATTTGATCATAAGTATTATAGTGTCATATTATAGTGTATTATAGTGTCCTATAGAAGGTCTCGGTAGTTCACTGCACACTACACTTGATACTACATTTGCCTGCTACTAACTACACTAAACACTAAGCACGTTAGCTGCGTTATTTTAAGAGGTGTTGGAGACGCAACATCGGGTTTCCTTATTACCCTGGATCGATTACAATTACCATAATATGCCATTATGCATATGAAAAATATGGCACGTGACTACTTCTCCCCCCATACATGGTATCTTAATTGAAATTGATCCAGTGCAGTGTAAGGAAATGTTGCCGCTCTTTCCCCCTCCATTTAGTCTACTCTCATCACAACTAGCACAACCGTTCTATTACACTCTACAGTTGAATATAAGTTAAATATATATTATACAAGTTAAAATATAATAATCTCCAAAAGTTTACAAGGTGACCACACCGCATCAGGGTAACTGTAGAATCAACGAGTTACATTTTACACTGTAATGTCTACTGCAAGCACAAGAGAGAATCACCACTTCAGCACTGCAGAATTTTTACAAGTGATTTGGATTTTCCGCCATGGACGGTACACCGCCGGTTTTTTGTTTGACACGGAATCAGGCATAACTAATAGTATGTGATTTCGTTACAATACATAACTCAATTGATCGGCGAGCGTAAAAATGAACACTATAAGAACACTGATCTGTAATTAGCAAATGTTTTACACTGTATAGAATGATGAACAAGACAGTGTTAGTGAGTAGCTGGGGTGATAAGCTCAAAGCGTGGGGAGTAGCTAAACGTGGGGTGAGTAGCTAAACGTGGGGTCAGTTCAAGTGTTGGGTTCCTATCAAATCTTAATAGTCACCACCAACACACCACCGGGTAAGATGATGATCTAGAACTGGAAATTTATACGATCAGGGCGTACATGACCCTTTGGCGAACATGCGATTTGAACTATCTGCTATCATACTCAAAAGCTGGTCCGATTTGCCGATATCAATCAAATTATACCGGTTAGCCGGATTTTGCCGGACAGGAAACCGGGTGTTAGGAAGATCATATAAAAGGGGACTATTATATATGTAATTACAAATGTACCATATACAAAAAATACATCATGTATAGATTTGAATACATCGATATATAGGATCTTAGTGAGAGGTATAGAAAACATCGTAATGATTTGACTGTCCAACATAATTCATTGCTAAATATTATTATAGTGATAGTGAATTGTTAATTATTTGGAGGTAAACTATCAAAACAAGCACAATTAACCGACTAATTCATTAATTACCATTTATAATTCGATCAATATTTAATTCAGGGTACATAATTTGGGATTTTTATTTTACAAACTTCTTAGAAGTGAGACGTGACAAAACTTAAATATTACCAAATCCTTTCTCAGGAAATCAGGACAAGGATTTAATTCAAGGATTAACTTTTTTTCTTGAAAAGCTTTTTCTCATAAGAATTTATGTCCCAACTCCCAGAATTCCAGCTAAGACAAGTAGCTCTGCCTGGCTTTCTCTCAAGTAATCTTTGTTCCTACTCAATTTGCAAAATGGTTAAGCTATCTCGCGTGGGAAGTGCAAGGACCTAAATTAGTTTTACGACTTCTGCAGTGAAAATTAAGGGGGGTGCAATGGGTATTTTTTTGTGAAACTTGATTCGAGATAGCAGTTTGACCAACAAACTAGGACCAGTGGACCGAACATTTGTGAGGGGTCCCGGACCCCAACCGCCAAACGGTGCGCGCAGGGCAGCACGCCATATTTTCCAAATTAGGCCCAATTTAGCCAAATCACCCCTGTACATGCCCCAAACCCAGTTTATGTGTGCTCTACTCTTGTAGCGTGGTCTCCTGAACTTGAACTCGTATATGAAATTTCATCAAGATTGGACAAAAAATGACTGAGTTATGAGCCAAAAACCATATGCCCATATTTGGGCATACGCACCAAATTTGGTAGATTTCGTCCCATAAATTGGTCAAATATCAATATTTTTGAATGAAACTTACTTTATATGAAAGGTAAGCCTAAACTACATACTCTCTGTAATTTATAGCTTTATATCTGTTTAAATGTGGATACTAAGGCGAAAAAACCACAAAAAATGAACTAAATTGCCCATATCTCGGTTCGCGATATTCGCGGAATTGATCTCACCAAAATTGTAACAACTCAATCAGTTTTCAAAATTTTTGCATGAAATTTTTGGAATCGACTCGAAATCGCATTTCGACCTTATTTTAAGAACGGATTTTTGATTTAGGCCTCAAAAAAAATTTGGCGGCCAAATTCCAAAATTATATTACAGAAATTCAGAATTTGGCCGCCAAATTTTTTTTGAGGCCTAAATCAAAAATCCGTTCTTAAAATAAGGTCGAAATGCGATTTCGAGTCGATTCCAAAAATTTCATGCAAAAATTTTGAAAACTGATTGAGTTGTTACAATTTTGGTGAGATCAATTCCGCGAATATCGCGAACCGAGATATGGGCAATTTAGTTCATTTTTTGTGGTTTTTTCGCCTTAGTATCCACATTTAAACAGATATAAAGCTATAACTTACAGAGAATATGTAGTTTAGGCTTACCTTTCATATAAAGTAAGTCTCATCCAAAAATATTGATATTTGACCAATTTATGGGACGAAATCTACCAAATTTGGTGCGTATGCCCAAATATGGGCATATGGTTTTTGGCTCATAACTCAGTCATTTTTTGTCCAATCTTGATGAAATTTCATATACGAGTTCAGGAGACCACTAGCTACAAGTAGAGCACCATAAACCTGGGTTTTGGGCATGTTCAGGGTATTTGGCTAAATTGGGCCTAATTTGGACCAAATATGGGCGTGGCTGCCCTGCGCGCACCGTTTGGCGGTTGGGGTCCGGGACCCCCTCAAAAGTTCGGTCACTGGTCCTAGTTTGTTGGTCAACTACTATCTCGAAATCAAGTTTCACAAAAAAATACCCATTGACCCCCCCCCTTAACAATAATATTACATCACATCCTTTCTCAGGAAATCTGGAAAAGGATCAAACCAAGTTATCAATTTGTTAGTTGAGCAGCAATTCTCATAAGAATTAATTAAATTGTGTCTGTTCAGCTCCTCCCTCATCCTAGCTGATTAGCGATTGGCTGTTACCTAATCTTTGTTCTTACTCAATTTGTAAAATGGTTAACATTTCTCAAGGGTGTGGTGTAAGGAACTAAAATCATAACTGCAGTTAAATAGTGGTCGCTTCACTCGCTCGGCATTATTTTGCTATTCTTGCTTAAATTTTGTTCCTAACGTGGCTCAAATTTTCTTAAGGTCATTTCTCTCAGTAGTATCTGGGATTCGTGCACTTATTTTTTATGAGATAATATAACCATATATAGTCCATACAACATTCAAAAAATAATAATTATTTGTGGTTCTGACTTCTGGTTGACCCTAATTATGGTGGTTGACCCTAATTATGTTGACCCTAATTATGTTTTGTAATTTTGCCCATAATAGATCAGAATCCACTATTAACACAGATATACGTGGATTGGGCTTTTGTTATTATCAATTATGATATTAATCCCTATTGCTTATAAGCCATAGTTAGTAATTAGTTTGTCATGCAGGTCTGAATATCAATTATCAAAGCACAATAGTTCCCGATTCAGGGCAAAATTGTACCTTTAATCTTTATAGCATGCAGGCGCACTTAATCACTGGCTCGTTCCAATTAAGCGGCACAGTAGTTCCCGATTCAGGGCACAATAGTACCCTGATTCGCATGCAAGCATATTTCATCACTTGATAGTTTTTACTAGGCAGCACTCTGAAAAAACCTGGCTCGGAGCCAAAACTGGATCGTAATATTAAACGTGATAAAACCACATTTCTCCACATTTCATGGTACCCTATTCATTATTAGCCGAAAATATTTGGACTCGAGGCTTCCTTTTGTGATGCGGTCTCGGAAGGCAGGCCTCCCCTTTGCAACACAAGCTCAGAAGCGAGAGCTCTGCCCTCAGAGGAGTGAGAGGTACGTATCGAGATTGACTCGGACAGAAA